TGTGTGTGTGTGTGTTAAAAATAATTTGATATACAGCTATAATGACATATCTTTGCTAATATATAAATATGGATTTATACAAAACTTGCGTTTTTGAACGACTGAGTGAGTGGGTGAATTTTTTTTTTTGGAATTATGATTTCTCTTATCAGTGTGCTAACTAAAAGTATGTATCAAATTGCGATAAAGATTGATGGCAATCTTAGTATTGTTTCTCCTTTTTCGCCTGCGCGGGACTCGGCATAGTGTACTTTGGCAGAGCCTGGAAAAGTCACATTTTAAAAGCCAGACTGCTTTCAGTTATTACATGCTTACGCTGAAAATTCCTGATTTTGCAGCAAGTCTTTGTGTGGTGCGGGCGCACACGGCTTTATAACGCGCTGTTCCCTACCGTACTCACATAAGACCGGACCGACTCCTGCTCTGACACCGAAACTCGAAACGCACTGCGTGCCGTACTCCTTGGCTCGGAGAGATCAGTATTGTGCGCGTAATGTGCGGTACGCTTGGAGAGTCGCTTTGTACGGGTTTCATAGCGGCAGTGTATAGACGCCAATACACGAGGTGTGTACCCGAGTTCCAGCTTGCTAAGTATCTTTGCTTCGCTGTCTGGAAGACCTGATTTTCTGAGTGCTGATAGGCCACCGATGCGTTGTGAATGACCCGAGTTCAGTGTGGCATTCAAACCTGCGGCCTTCACAAGATGTTAAAATTTTAGGGTCCATTCGACTAGGTCGATTGCTTGATTGTTTGAGAAGAATAGGTGGCTGTCCCCATGTTCAGATGGGGTCAGTGAAGGCCAGAGTAGAAGGTGGCGGTGAGGGCATACAGTTTTGTATTCCGCAGGAAGACGTTGGACGCAAACGTACGTTGGCCTGTGTTGTTGAGTTTCTGAGTTAGGTAGGAGAATGAGTTAATGATTAGGAAGTATGGTTATCCCAGAGCCGAGTTGAGGCTTTTACAAAGCTATTTTATCACACTTTATGACAATTGTTTGCAAAAGGGGGGGCGATTATAACTTGCAATTGTTTTGTCTGTTTTATTTGGAAAAGCTCGACAGATAGGTCAGAATCATCGGACAACAGTATTGCCCGTTCCGACAAATCGAAGTGCCATAATCAATTTTCCTTTTTCGCCCTGATGTGAACCTTCACCCATCAATAGTATTTCAAAGGTTGATGAAATACAGACCGGTCTTTTCAAGCACGCTATATTATTTGGAACAATACATCCAAATACATTCATTCCATTTTCATGACATTTAGAGTCGTGAATTTGTATGCTTCGTATTCCAACATCTTTGCATCTTAACCAGTTCAGCAGATACCACCTTACCACACTCACGCATCACCATCCCCCCCTTTTGTAGGTCGATTTGCTGCTGCTATACGTGACTTATTACTGTTGTACGGTGATGTATGAAAGTGCTGCGTCGGTTTCACTGTCGCCTGCGCATTCATATGGTCGTGTCTGGAGCGTGTTGGTGGCGATTGAATTGACATCTCTGCTTTATGTAGTAGTTGGCGCGTCACTTCGCCTACCATGACAGACGCGTTCTGTGTGAAGGGCTGCACCGCCTCAACGATGCCATTGGAGGTAACCTGCAGTTAAAGGAAATGGATGATAGGTTATAAACAGTCGGAGTGGTGTTAATAATGATTATGTACAATCGAGAGGAATGGATGATAGGATATAAACAGTCGGAGTGTTGTTAATAATGATTATGTACTATCGAGAGGAATAGATGATAGGTGGAGTGTTGTTAATAATGGTTATGTACTATCGAGAGACTTTAATTAGCGACACTAGTGCGAGTGTACTTCCTCCAGCTAATACCGTATGCAACACAGAATCACAAGCTGCAGATAATGGCCAACACTAGTGATAAAGGTCATTAGGACCGAACATTCTGGTTGAGACTGCCTACACAACTCTGAGGCTGTTCGCATCAGAGGCAGCGCATTTACATAACTTCGGAGTGATTGAAGTACTACGGACTGATACCACATTATAGACAAGATACATTGGTGCTCATGAAATATCAATAAACAAAGACACATCACACAGAGACTTGGACCATTTTGTCCTAACCAGAAAATACATATTTTTGCATTCTATGCTCTACAATAGATGATACATATCTTTGGATTTTATGCTTTACAATAGATGATACACATCCTTTGGATTCTATGCTTTACAATAAATGATACATATCTTTGGATTCCGTGCTTTACAATAGATGATACATACCTTTGGATTCTATGATTTACAACAGATGGTACATATCTTTGCATTCTGATTCTATGCTTTACAATAGATGATACATTTCTTTGGATTCTATGATTTACAATAAATAATACATACCTTTTGATTCTATGATTTACAACAGATGATACATACCTTTGGATTCGGATACTATGCTTTACAATAAATGATACATACCTTTGGATTCTATGATTTACAACAGATGATACATATCTTTGCATTCTGATTCTATGCTTTACAATAGATGATACATTTCTTTGGATTCTATGCTTTACAATAAATGATACATACCTTTGGATTCTATGATTTACAACAGATGATACATTTCTTTGGATTCTATGCTTTACAATAGATGATACATACCTTTGGATTCTATGCTTTACAATAGATGATACATACCTTTGGATTCTATGATACACAACAGATGATACATATCTTTGCATTCTGATTCTATGCTTTACAATAGATGATACATACCGTTGGATTCTGTGCTTTACAATAGATGATACATACCTTTGGATTCTATGCTTTACAATAGATGATACATACCTTTGGATTCTATGCTTCACAATAGATGATACATATTAAATGCTATATATCTTTGCATTCTATGCTTTACAATAGATGACACATATCGTTGTACTCCATGCCTTACAAACGTGCACTTACGAATCGGTGTGCGTCTGTCGAGGCGTCAAATAGTGAGTGGATAATCTTCAGCAGCGCCAGCAGTACGTTTGGTCTTGCCGAGTATGTCTGTTGCAATGGAAGCGGATGAAGGTTTAAGGTTTAGACCGGCAGGCTTAAAATTAATCATCCAACACACAAAAGACACTTGACTGTCGCATAGTAATGCGGGTCTTGACCTGTGTATGGGTATGTGCATTGTCTATAGACCACAAGACTACACCCATAGCCTCAGCTCATGCCAGACACCACATTCATGCAGCAAACACACACAAGCACAAACATGCAATTGACAGCCGATCGAAAGCACACCATACATTCAATCGTCGCAGGATGATTCTAACCATACGGCCCTCGGCCAGCAATGTATTGATACGCTGAGACGCTTCAACGGTGCGATGCAGTGGCTCTAACATCAGATCAAAGTACGGACTCTTCGCACGCGCAAAGGCGTTAATCATGGTGTCTAGCTGTGCCGTCTGACTGAGTATGGGCTCTACTTGGGCGGGCGCATCGGCCAGCCTAGGCAGGTATGGGTTTAGGGTATAAGCGAAGTTAGAGTCTTAGGGTTTTAGGGTTTTAGGGTTGGGATGCTCATTACGTACGACGCTGTTGTATCCCACTCGATTGATAACGTTTGAGTGTTTTAGGGTTTAGGATTTAGAGTTTTAAATGTTTGCTGTGTCTTGGATAATATCTTTTAGGGTTTAGGGTTTTGAATGTATGCTGTGTCTTGGATAATATTGTATTCGTAGTGTGACGATTGGAAGTGTGTCGTATACTAGGTAGGAGTATGTTGGTTTGTGTTGCTGATGTCCGTCTCGAAATGTGGCCTCATTTACAACGAAACCTCGAACCTTTATCATTCCAAATACAATCTCTTCTAAAGGTATTGACTTTTGACTGCGAAGGTCGGGAATAATCCCATCATATCGGAGCACTGCCAGTATATATGCATATACCAGGTAGATATGAATTAAAGCACCATACTTCAGCATTGCCAGGTCATGTGTACATACCAGATAGATAGTAATTAAATCACCATACTATAGCACTATCAGGTCATGTTTACATACCATATAGATAGGAATCAAGACACCATACTTTAACATTGCCAGGTCATGTGCACATACCAGGTAGATAGCACGTCCATTGCCGTGGCCTGGAAGTTGGGGTCTTGCAGCAGTTTGTTGAACAAATTGATCCCTGCACCAAATCACACAGAACTTAGTTTAGTGGAAATTGAGTGCGATTGGGAAGTCTCTGAGTTGCTATTGAGCTATTGTCGGGGTATGAAGCCAAACCCCTATTTCATATGCAATTCGGTCTGTTGCAAATGAACAGTTGCAGTCCTTGCGGGGGACCATGTGCTTAATAATCGAACGTGTCAATTTGCATAAACCAAAGGCTAAAACATTGAAAATTTAAGGCTAAAACATTGATAATTTAGGGACAGTATCTCAGCATACCATCGTTTTTGTACAACTCCAAACGCGTCTTTCTGGAGCACATGCCAATGTCACAGATGATTGGGAGGGCCAATTGTTTGACCGGATTGTTCTCTTCGATCACCTGTTTCAGAATAGGAATGATCCCAGATGCTGCGGCCAATTCCTGGCGTCTGTGAAAAACCGATGGCCAGGGCAATTAACCAGGTTTTTCCGAGTGAACATTAAACGAGATAACATCACCAGGTGGAGGATGGAAGGAAAAGAAACTATGGCATGCGTTAGAGGTCACCAGAAAAGAGTACGAAACAAAACAACAACTCACGAGCGTACATAACCATCAAAATGTTGATCAGTATACACTCGCAGGTAAAATCGCATTCATACTCACAGAAATATGGAATGAAATACTGAGCAGTAAAAGCGAACAATGCCTCCGTCTCTGTACCATGTGCATTTACATGAGCACAAACATCTATATCACTATACCTTTTGTTGACCTTGCACAGGTTGTAGAGCGCGCTCAGTACGTTATTGTATATATCCTGTATGATACAAGGAGTGGATCCATGAGATAAATGGTGTAATACATCAATGTATATATACACACAACACACACACACAACACACAACACACAACACACACACACACACACACACACACACATATATATATATATATATATATATATATGTATATATATATATATGCATAGATACATATATACATATACATATATATATATATACATATACATATATATATATAT